AGCCAGAGAGAGTCTCTGCATCTTTTTAATTAAGACTAGATTTACATCAGGTGAGGGAGGGAAGGTAAGGGGAGAAAGAGATAAAAGCAACAGTGTTGGATGTTACTAGCGTTGGAGGAGTTTAGTAAGAGAGTCCTGAGCCACTGTGGGATATGGGAGAATTGAGGAGGAGATGAAAAGAGATTTTGAGAAGGATTTTTGAGCTCCCAGAAGCTCTGGGAGCTCTAGTGGCATAATGCCTAAGGCATTTGACTGCTAACTGGAAGGCTGGCGGTTCAAACCCACCAATCACTCCTCAGAAGACTTCCGTAGAGACACCTTCTCTGAAACCCAAGGAGGAGTCGCTATGAGTCAAATGGACTCGACAGCAATGAATTTGGTTTGGTTTGGATCGGGAGCTGTGTGGCGTAGTGCCTAAGGCATTTGACTGCTAACGAGAAGGATGGCGGTTCAAATCCACCAGCTACTCCTTGGAAGGAAGGTTGGGCAATCTACTTCTGTAGTGATACTTCCATAGAGCTACCACCTCAGAAACCCAAGGAGGGGTCACTATGGGTTGGATCCGACTAGTTGGCAGTGAGTTTGGTTTTGATTTTGTTATCATGAGTTATAAAGTAGATTCTTGCAGTATTTTTTTTTTTTTTGTAATATTTCAGTGCTATACTAGGCTTTTTAGATGCCATTTTCTTCAGAGGTTAGACCACAGAGGCTTCAAGAATCTTCAAGAATGATTGAACTCTGTGTGGTTTATGTATAAGCCACACCAAACAAAGCCTGTTGTTGTTGTTGTTGTTGTTGAGTGCTGTTGAGTCAATTCCAAATCATAGCATAAGACAGAGTAGAACTAATCCTTAGTGTTTCCTAGGTAGTTGTTAAGCACTTTGCTGACAACAGAAAGGTCAACAGTTCAAATCCACCAGTTATTCCATGGAAGAAAGATGTGGCAGTCTGCTTCCATAAAGATTATACCCTTGGTAACCATATGGGGCAGTTCTACTCTGACCTAGAAGGTCGTTCTGAGTCAGAATTGATTCAACAGTAATGGGTTTGGTTTAGGGTTTTAGTTTAATCTTTACAGGAACAGATCACCAGGTCTTTTTCTTGCTGAGCTGCTACATGGGTTCAAACCACTGACCTTTTGTTTAGCAGCCAAGCATTTAACCATTGCACCACCAGAAATTCTTAGACAATGTCTGGATGGCTGCAATACAAACTGAGTATGATCATTCCTGGAAAAGGGTGTGGAATTGGAAGTTGATGAGTCACTTTTTAAAAGTTTTACAGGGCTTTTGCTATTTATAAGATTTTGGAATGATAAATATATTTTTTAAAAAGAATTACACACTCATGTTAACTGCAGAATAAGGAGTACAATGGTTTCCCATGATGCATGTACCACTTAGTGGCATGAGAGGAAAACATGGTCCTGGGCAAAGCTGCTTCTCAACTCTGGGAGAGTGTCCAGTTACTGGGGTACAGATTTATGGGGTTTAGAGGGAGGGATGGAGTATGATTTATGGAGCCACAGATGTCTTAGATGTTCAAAGTTACCATAGTAGTCAAGATCACTCCTTGCTAGTGTCCCAGGATGAGCCAACGGAAATATTCCTGGTATTCATTCATTCACTCATTCATACATTCACCAAAAGTATTCCTATTCACCAAGACTTGTTGGGTTATTCTGAGCAGTATTTATCCCTCTACTTATTTTATAATGTGTGTACTTACATCCTCTAGTTATAAGAATCCACCCAAAAGGGTGCTAACTCTAAGAGTAGAGTTAGCAAAGCAGTGGTAAGGAAGGGTAACTGGCTTTGGGATCCAGATGCTTTCCCATGAAATTGATCTTCCTCTTGGAGACCTCTCACTATTACTGCTGTCTCTCTAGGGTTGGCATGAGGAGTATCTTCCCACTTCAGGGGAGACATAGCCTCTTCTCTCAGACCTCTACCCTATGGCCTCAATAGAGCAAGCTCATCAGATGATAAAACCCATAGTCTATAAAGTCCAACAAGGATTCCACTCACTTACACAGCAGCAGGGGCATCATCCAGTGCCGCTCCTGAGCAGAGCCGATTTTACAATCCCTTTAACATCCAGGGATAGGACCTCTGGTGGCACAGTGGGTAAGGCATTTGGCTGCTAACCAGAAGGTTGGCAGTTCAAGCCCACCAGCTGTTCTGTGGGAGAAATATGGGGCAATCTACTTCCACAAAGATTTACAGCCTTTGAAACCCTGTGGGGGTCACTATGGGTCTGAATAAACTTGATAGCAATGGATTAACATGCAAGAAGATGAACCTGAGTTTACACACAGCAACCATGCTACCACAAGAGCCTCATGATGGCCAAAACCTGTTTTCTCAGGCTGATCAAAGGTGGGGAAAGGGCCAGCCTGCAAGCCCAAAATCTCTGACCTCAAACACTGCTAATTACATTGGGAAGTTAAGTCAAAACATTCTAGAAGACATGGGGATCCCAGGCTGGGATTTCACCAGCTCTGTCTCAGAAACCCAAGGAAGGGTCGCTGTGACTAGAATCTGACTCGACGGCAGTGAGTTTCGTTTTTGATTTTGTCTGCTTATTTGTATCCATACAGGCCAGACTTTTCCACTTGTTTGAGAAGCAAGAGTAAGAAAGAGAGGCAGTTTCTGACAGAAGAATAAACATGGACCAAAGAAACAGACCAGATGTCACTGTGAATTGTATTCAGAACTTTATTCTTGCCATAGTTTGGGGGTTGTGCTAACTCTGGCAGGCTGCCTTGATAGAGAAGCAAAGCACAGAGAGGAAAGCAAGGAGATTCCATGTTACTGGGAATGACAAGGAGGGGGCCAGAGGTTGGTCAATGTTCCAGGAGGGATTGCTGGGAGAGAGCAGAGTTAAACAGGGGGCAGTGAATTCTGGAGTGAGGCTGGTCTTGCGTGTTTAACAGCAGCAGTCGTCGTCATGGTGACAGCATGCAGGACCTCGGGAACTCATGGGGATAATTCCCAAACAGCAGCAGCCAGAGTCGCAGCAGCCAGAGTCGCAGCAGCAAGAACTGCAACACCCCGAGCTGCAGCACCCAGAATCTTCACAGCAGCCTGATGATCCAGTGTCCCCACACTGGGGCCGTTGGACCCAGCGTCTCAGGGGGCTCACCCCGAAGGTGCGGGGAGCCAGGCAGCTGTAGCTCGTGGAACAGGGAGCAGAGCATGGATCAGGGACACAGCATAGGGATCCTGAGCTCTGCACTGTGCCACTTGCAGGGCGCTGTACATAGTACGTCTGGCCGGGAGAAGGATACTGGACATAATATGTCTGGGTCTGGCAGGGGGCTGGACACTTAACATAGGTCGTCTGGCATGGAGCTAGACACTTCACATACTTTGTCTGGCACGGAGCTGGGCATTTCACATACGTTTGAGTTTGACACGGAGCTGGGCATTTCACATAGGTTTGAGTTTGACACGGAGCTGGGCATTTCACATATGTTGTCTGGCATGGAGCAGGGCATTTCACGTAGGTCTGAGTCTGGCAGGGAACTTGACATTTCACATAGGTTTGAGTCGGGCATGGGGCTGGACATTTCACGCAGGTTTGAGTTTGGCTTGGTGCAGGACCCGTCACACAGACCGTTTTTGCCTGGCAGGGAGCCGCACCCTTCACAGACGTGGATTTTGTACTTTGCACTGTTCCCAATCCTGAACCTTTCACACAAGATGGAGGGATCTGTTGCTGTTTCTGTTGGTCATACATCTTTCTGTGGTTTTGTAAAATCTGAAAAGAAAGGCTTCATCAGATCTGTGAAACTAGGAAGATTTCCAGGGAAACCTGCAATATCCTCTTTGGGTAAAGTGTGGTCTATAAGAAGTGGCTTTTTTGAGAAGGCCACAGGTACCCAGAGGCTATACACCTGGCACTTAGGATGGACCTGAACCAGGGTACTAGGTGTTGCTTTGTGCCATTACCTGGCTGTGTGACTTTGGACAAGTCACTTCTCACCTCTGGGCCTCAGTTTCCGCAATGGAAAAGGATTTCAGAGTGTTATGTGAATTTCTGCCTAATTCTCTGAGCTTCCTTTCTTCTTACTCACTCTATACCCACCACCCACTGCCATAGAGTTGATTCCACCTCATAGCGACCCTATAGGACAGAGTAGAATTACCTCATAGTGTTTCCAATGCTGTAAATCTTTATATAAGCAGACTGCCCCATCTTTCTGCTGCAGAGCAGCTGGTAGGTTCAAATCACTGACCTTTTGGCTGGCAGCTGAAGACTTTCCAGCACTATGCCCCAGAACTTCCTATTCACTCTAGTACCTGTGATATAAATTATCCCTGAGAGATTGTTGGTCCCCACCTAATTTCCCCTTGCCATTAATTCTCTCAAGGGTAGCTTTGCTTCTTCCCATTGAAGCACCCATTGAAGGCAAATTTATGTCATTATAATCCCAAGCCAACATGAACCTGTCAAGTTACAAAGAATAAGAGCAAATTCGAATGTTTCTACCACTTGCTATTTGGATCAGCTGGACCATCACCTCACCTCTTTGGGACATGAACCCATGAAAGGACTGCACTCCTGTACTCAGAGAGAGAGGGGGCAGAAATCCAGTCCTTCACACTCAGGACTCAAGGAACTTCTTTCTCTCTTCTCACAATCCAGTCTGTGCTTCTTGCTACCAGTGCCCAGTCTTGGAGCACCTTTCCTCCCCCTGGTCTCCATCCCAAATGCCCATCACAGGTATGGGACTTACCTTCTTTGATGTCAGGAACAAGACTGGGAGAAGCCAGTGATCTGAGGAAATGGCACCTGGGAAGATCTTTTATAGGACCACAGTGAGGCAATTTAATGGCATCTAAATGAAGCACCAGAGATCACGAGGGTGAAGCGTGGCGCTGCATTGGCAGGATTCCTCTTCTGTGTGCTTGGCCTTTCAGTCAGAGTCAGGGCATGTCTCTGCTTGATACAGAGGCTCCCCAAACATGAGATAAGTGATTCCTTTTACCTTCTTCATGAAACTAGTCAGTCTTCTTTTCCTGAAAGTTATGATTGATGCCTATGTGATGTGTTCGGAATGAGGCTATTTTGGATCTTCAAGAACTAGTCCAAGAAGTGTTCGATTTTTCATACATTATGACAAAAGCTACACTGCTTTTCATCTAACCTGAGTGTCCTTTCTGAGGATATCCATGATGGCACCTGCTGACCTGGATTGCTAGACACAAAGAGTTTGGCCCAACAAGTTCTTGTTTAATATGGCAGACAACAATGTTACCAAAAAAAAAAAAAAAAATGTTTTGCTCCATGAACTGGCAGGGTAGTCTAAGTTCATTTGGAAAATTGTGAGGGTACTTGATGAGCCGAGATCCCGAGCTCTATGTCTAGGCTGTTTCTCTTCCTCCTCCTCATGCCCTAGGATATTCCCCATCCTTCACCTTCCTAGACTCTACTTATCAATCTCAGATTTCCAAAAACCCAGCATAGGGGAAATTCTAACCAAATGAACACTCTATAATAATAGTAGAATATAATGTTCAATTGATTGTTTTTTATGTGCCAAATAATCCATGAGGCAAGTATTATTATCATTCTTATTTTATAGGTGGATGTACGGAGGCCCTGAAAATTTTAAGTAATTTATCCAAGGTCACAAAACAAGTAAGTAGATAAGCCAGAATTGAAATACAGATAGGTTGCTTTTATAACCCACGATGTTCACCAGTACAATGAGTTGCCCTCTACTTACAGACATAGCACTGTTCCTGAACCCATGCTTCCTTTTCTTTCCCAATGTAGTAGATGGAGGAAGAGAGATGAGAATGTTATCTTTCGAGCTCTTACTATGTGCTGAATACTGCCCTAACATCTTTATCAGTGTTATTTAATTTAATATTCATGATAATCCTGTGAGCTATGTTAGCCCATTTCTACAGAAGAGAAAATTGAAACCAATTGGTTGACCCAAGGTAATTTACATTGGTAAATGTAAATTCACATTGATAAATGATGGAATATCATTTGACTTCAAACCTATCTATTCCAGAGCCCATGGTGTCTCCAATTCAGAAAGTTGCCTTGAGTCTGAGCCTAGCACCAGTTCCAAATATTCACTTCCTTAAACCATTCAACCCAGGCCCCACCTTGGCCCCTAAGACCTTTCAGGTAAAAGGCTGTCATACATTTATCCATAATAGATCCCCTAAATCCTCCACAAGCACTAAATCTCCCCAAATTCCCTAAACAAAAAGAATTCAAACCCCCACTAGTTCCTAGCACTTTACTCACTACTAGACTCTCTCACCACCCTAAGCCAGGTCTAGTATGTTATATTCTTGAGCGATTTAAAGGAAGCAAGAAGGGAGGTTCTTCTCAGACTTGGAAAGTGTCCTACTTCTTTGTCATTCCTGCCTCTGCTAGGGTTGTACCACTCCATAACTTCCTCTGTGATACCCAGTTTTTTGGTTATTGAATCCCATGGCTGGCATAAATGATTAATGTGCTTAGCTGCTAATCAAAAGATTGGAAGTTTCAGTCACCTAGAAGTGCCTTGGAAGAAAGGCCTGGTGATCTACTTCCAAAGAAATCAGCCATTGAGAACCCTATAGAGATTAGTTCTACTCTGACACACATGGGATCATCATAGGTTGGCATTGACTTGATGGCAATTGGTAGTGGTGGTACTAGTGACTCAGAAAAAAATAATAATAACTTGACCAAGCTCACATAGCTAGAAGCTATAGAGTCAGAATTTAAACCCACTTATAAGAGACTTCAAATCTTATTGTTTGTCACCACAACATGATGCTTCAGGTGTTAAAATCCGTGCTGTTTTAGAAATGATACCTTTTAGTCCCTAAAAATCAGGCAGTTATTAAGAAGCCTGCTATCTTATATATTCAGAATGAGGAAGCCCCATCTTACAGGGAAGAAAATAGGTCAGCTCTTTTAGGGCATGTCAACAAAACAGGAGATAGCTCAGGACACATGGGGAGACTGGAGATCTGCCCTGCTGTTGCTTCTCCATCATACAATGCTGCTTTTGTCTCACCATCTCTAGACCATTCCTCCTTCCAATCTAAATAGATAGCATGAAGCTCTTCTGGCTACAATATTACATCCTTGTAAGTGCTCTTTCTACAAAGAAAATGTATACTTCTACATGCTAGCTGGAAGCTCTGGTAGTGTAGTGCCTAAGGCACTTGACTGCTAACCAGAAGGCTGGTGGTTCAAACCTATCAGCCACTCCTCAGAAGGAAGGTTGGGCAATCTACTTCTGTAGTGATACTGCCTCAGAAACCCAAGAAAAGGTTGCTATGAGTTGGGTCCGACTCGATGGCACATAACAACAACAACAGCAACATGCTAGCTGTCTGTGGAGCTATTCCCATTAGACTATAACTTCTATGAGATTGTAACTGTGGACACATTCACTCTGTATTGTCTAGCTCTGGCACCAGGACCTGGAAAATACTGACTAAACAAATGAAAGAATGAGTGAATGAATGTGGATGCTTTACATTGACAGTACAGCCCAGATCAGCCTCCAACCTCCATGTGGTGAGTGCCTGTCCTGCCATCACCCATGCCTATTCCATCTGTGAGCTCTCATTGGCTCACTTCCTGCTCTGTGGGGTAAGATTCTCACTAATGGTTTTGACATCTGCAGGTAACACTGACATCCCTGGCAAGAGATACTGTGTCCATGTGCCATCAAAACAGGTGGGTGTGTTGTGCCTCACCCATTTTGCTGGAAGTCAAAGCATGGAGAAATCAGATGACTTGTGCAAGGGCCTAGGTGAGTCATAGGGCTATCCCCCAAATTCCCCAGAACCTGCCTTCCATCCATCCCTTTGGACATAAGTTCATAGAATCAAAGATATGTAAACTCATGCAATAGTAGTTCAATAGAATCATGGGGTAATAAATGGAGGTAGCCATAAATTCACAGGATAACAGAATCACAGATTCAGCATCATGGCATCTCCAAGGTGGAGGAAACTAAAAAAGACCATGGACATGGCCCCTGCCTTAGCTGTTTTTCTTAGGAAGATCCCTTGGTCTTGAAATGTCCCTGAAGTCTTCTGGTTAGCTCATCTCAGGTCTTACCATCTGGGTGGTCTGTAACTATATGCTAGATTATTTCTAATGTCCCTATTGCAGCAGCACCCACAAATCTTTGACATTCATTTCCTGTTTGAATTTATGTCCCTTAGTGTGTGAACCAGACCGAGATTTCAACTCTGGGCTACTCCCAGCCTTGACCAGGAGATCAGAGGGAGGGAGTACCCAATGAAACCTGTTGTTCCCTGAGGACAATTTGGGTCTCCTCTCATCCATTGGGAGCTCTGGTAGCATAGTGGGTAAAGCACTTGACTGCTAACCAGAAGGCTGGCGGTTCAAACCCACCAGCCACTCCTTGGAAGGAAGGTTGGGCAATCCTACTTCCATAGTGATACTGCCTCAGAAACCCAAGGAGGGGTCGCTATGAGTCGGGGCCGACTCGACGGCACACAACAACAACAACAACTCATCCTGGGAGCTTTCCTCAATTAAGGATTAAGAATGCTTTCAGGGTAAAATCCACGTCATTTCCTTTGTGTGGAAAAGAAGTGGAAGGAAATGAGAAGTCACACACCAACAAGAGGGAGGGCACATGAACCTAGGTCCTGAGTGAGAAATTTCAAGTCTGTGTCTGAGACCATAGGTAGCACAGTGGTCCTTCCTTCAGATCCCATGTCTGTAAGTCTCTGATT